AGCCGAAGGCAGACGCCCAACGACTGAGCCACCCAGGCGCCCCTGTGTTCTAAATTCTTAAAAAATGGCACACTACATAAATATATAGTTTAGGATACGCATGGCATATGGCAGTGGTCAGCCACATATGGAATATGGGCTGATTTTTATTGGCACTTGGGCAGTTGCTACATACTTTTCTCCATCATATCTTTGGGAGAAATTCTTTTACTAGAAAGTAAGCTCCACAAGAACATGGATCTTTCTCTGTTTTGTTCATTGTTTTATCCTCAGCCTCTAGAACAATGCCTGGCACATCAAAAGTGGTCCAAAGATATCAACTGAATTAAGAAATGCCCTTCTAGAAAATCCATACCAGATCCTTGTTCCCTGCAGAACATGCAGCAAATCCTGTACTGCTCCCTCCAGTAATCCAGCAGGAAAGAAGCGGAAACACCTCTTTTAGAAAGTGTTCAGCTCTTGATAAGAGGTCTGTTAAAAGCATATGTCATGTGGGACAATCCTATAATAACCTAAACATCCCCCTTAAATGCTTTCTGGAACAAGTCAGGGAATAGGTAAACACAGTTTGACCAAAATATTAGACAAATTAGAACACTCCATTTCCATATCATTCCAGATTAAGAGACAATGTTGGCAACAATAGTTACTATCTTTTAAATGCTTCCTATGTCCCAAGAACTAGTGTTTTATATGTGGTATCTTACTTAATCCTCATGGCAAACCTTTGAAATAGGTGTTAATTATTCATATTTTCTAGGTAAGGGAAAGGAAGCTCAGAGAGGGTAAGTAACATGCCCAGTATTATACTGCTATTAGATGTGGACCTTGACCCACCTCGCTCAAGTCTGGCTCTTAAACACTATGGTCTGCTGCCCACCTCTCTGTGATATTCTGGGATGCTTATTACTAGAATTTTGAATCATGAAACTTGAAAAGAAGTTCATTGTAACACAGGTTCAACTCTGTGTGTGTAGGACAGTTAGGAGTCTTACCTCATCTTTCATTTCCTTGGCACCTCTCAATTCTCCTTTGAGCTTTAGCATTTTCTGAGCTTTGTTATAAACCTGCAAAAGTCCAAGAATTTAATATGGTAAAAGTAGAAATGAGTCTAGCCCTTTAAAGATTTCCCCATCTGGATGTGTGCTCTAAGCAGAGAGCTTGGAAACATTTCCCAAACTGTTAGCAGTACCTACTTGTCTGCCCATCTGCGTTTTCAAAAGTGTGTTAACACCTTCACCAGACAGACAGAACCAAGGGTTTACATCTTTTCCCCAAAACCAACACTTGGTGGACTAAATCATTTCTGAATTCACAGTTTCTTGGAAAGCAAAAGTTCTGAGATGATCTTACTTTCTCTTCTAAGTACTCAATGGCTCAAATATAGTTAACATTATGCACTAATTATGAACCAGACAGAATGTGCACAACCCACCTTCTTTCTCAGGATAACCCTGGGAAGTAGATATTATTATTTTCCTTGTTTTACAGAGGAGGAAACTGAAGTCCAGAGAGGCTATGTGACTTACCCAAGGTCACATGGGCTCTCTTACTACTTCTTGAGAAGCTGCCATTAATTTATAACTGTTACTTTGGAAATACCTGATGATGTGGTTTTTTCAAAGCATCGGTTTAATGTGGTGCTTGTAAAGTTATGAAACTTGTAGAGTGCTGAGAATTATCTATATAAAGTCTCAAGGAAAACCAAAGTTTTTTGCGCATGTATATATGTAAGTATAGGATGATGATTTTCAGGTCATAATGCACTGACTTATTAATAAATTATTTATGTTTTTAACTCTACAACTAGAGGAAATTTCCACCAGGCACTTACCTGCAGAATAGTTCCAAGAATGAGAAGCTATCAAAATACTCATTCTTTGTAATGAACCACATCCTCCACCCCTAATATAAGCCAGGAGGAAGAAAGAATGCTGGTGAGACATGGAATTTGGAATGTTTTGTGGGGTTGTGTTCTGATGTGCTGCATTGTTTACCCTCTTTAGTCTTTGTGCACAGAGATGCATCATGGGAATGGGGATTTAGCTCAGGCTTACTCAATTGGGAGAGGCCAGGTAATGTTGCAGTGACAAACAACCCCCAAATCTCAGTGACTTAAAACCATGAAACTTTATTTCTCACTGTGCTACAGGTCCTTTATGAGTCAGCTGGGGCTGCTCTTCATTGTCCTCAGCTGGTAGAACCTCATCTGGTATGTTGCCTGTTGCCATGCAGCAGAGGGGGAACACACAGGTTCTTAAAGTGGAAGTGACACACTTCACTTCTGCTCACATTTCATTGGCCAAAACAAGTCACACAGCTATGCCTGACTTCTTCCTTTATGCCTTAAAGGAAATATTGGTGAATGTCACCACACTGGGTGTCTTGGCCAGTCGTATTGCTATAACGAAATATCACAAACTGGGTAGCTTATAAACGACAGAAATTTCTCACTGTTCTGGAGGCTGAGAAATCCCTGACCAAACTGCCAGAAGATTAGGTATTTGGTGAAGACTGGCTTCAGAGACAGCTGTTTCTGTTTGCTTGTTTTTGTTTGTTTTGTTTTTGCTGTGACTTTGCATGGCTGAAAGGGCATGGAAATGATCTGTAGTCTCTTTATAAGGAAACTAATCCCATTCATGAGGGTTCCCATTTCTTGACCTAATCACCTCCCAAAGTCCCCATTTCTTTTTTTTTTTAATTAACATTTATAAGGTAGTATTTGTTTCAGGGGTACAGGTCTGTGATTCATCAGTCTTACAAAATTCACAGTGCTCACCATAGCACATACCCTCCCCATTGTCCACCACCCAGCCACCCCATTCCTCCCACCCCCCTCCACTCCAGCAACCCTCAGTTTGTTTCCTGAGATTAAGAGTCTCTTATGGTTTGTCTCCCTCTCTGGTTCGTCCAAAGTCCCCATTTCTTAATACCATCATTTTGGGGATTAAAATGTCAACACATGAATTTTGGGGGTGACACAAACAATCTACAGCACTAGGCAAATGAGAAGATTAAAAATATTGTGGCATAAAAACACTAAACTGGGCTGTAGGCCACCAAGCTTCTAAACCTGGTTCAGCACCTAAGTCAAGGAGTGGCCTTTGGAAAGAAAAGCACTCATCTCCCCAAGGCTTTGTTTCTGGCTCTATAAACTGGGAGTGGGGAGTGTTGTATTAAATGACCATTGTCCTTTCTAGCACTAAGACTTACTGATTCAATGTTCTACCTTGATGCACATGTTTCTTTACTTGGAACCATGAATTTAGCCCAAGCATCACACAAAAGTTGGAATGGAACAAATATATCCTTGAGAATAGTATTCCTCTACAGGCAGACCTACAGGATGGTCAGGAGATGACTCTTAAATCAAGTGAAATCTTATCCCAAAGACAGAAAAATTACTGTCTAGATTGTGATGATTTCATCAACTATGGAGTTACACAGCTACGGCTGCAAGAACCAAAAGTGTTTGGAAGGAAAAATGGAAGGCAGAGGCTCCCATATTTGTATGAAAAGACATTGGGCTTTACTAAGTAAGTGAGAGGAAAAAAACAGAGAACTAAGTTGTGTTTCATGAAGGAGACGGGAATCTTGTGAGTCACTAACAGCAGTGCGCAATTTGGAAGTGCTTATGATGAAAAATATGGAAGGGTTATATGATAAATTTTCCAATGCATTTGACAGTAATGTTTGCCAGATGGACAAGGAAGAGTGCTTTGAGGGAGCCTCTAATGCTTTATAAAATGGTCATGTGAGCCTTCACAACGCTCTCTGAGGGGTGTGGCGGGACCAATATTTTGTAGAGGAAAGAACTCATTACAGAGGGAGGGGTTCCCTACCTGATCCGTGGATACTGATACCTGGGTCTAGGACTTGGATGTCTTCTCTTTTCTCAAACCCTTATTCTGTGTCTTCTGTGGTGCTGTCTCCTGCATCTCTTTTGAGACCTTCACTTCTTCATGCCTCATCTCTTTCACTGGCATATCCAATTCTGCTGCATCTGCCCAGGGAACTGCTTTCTTGTACTCAAAAGATATGCCCCCTTTTTTTCCCCCAGCAGGCCTTCCCTTGGTGACAGCTGTGACCAGAAAACAAACAAACAAAAAAACAGTTGTAGTGAAAACAGAAACTTGGTCAGAGCATCTAAGTGATGTTTGTGCCTCTGGGTAGGCCTCAGTCCACACTAAGTGTACTTTATAGATTCCCAAGAAACACCTAGCACTGTACCTTACATGAGTGACTAAGTTTAGCAGGTATGAAATCAGGTGTGCAAAGAAAAAGCAACTGCTTTTCTATTACTCAACCTGGTTACTGAGCCCCATTTTCACCAAACGGCAGAAAGCAAAATCTTAGTTATTTCTGAGAAAGTGCCATCATTTTCAGGTTAAAAATAAATCAGTTCATGATTCCCTCCATCTTTTTAAGGTCTCTTCAGAGTACACCTAAATTCTGGCCGAGGTTGGATTCTGGCATCAGAGGTGGCTCTGGTCCATGGTCACGGGCATCTCTCCCAGCTGGAGTAAGCTGTGATGTCTGTGTCCTGGTCAACAGGCTGCATGTACTGCATCTTCTTCATACTGTGGGCTTTGGGGCTGCTGACCCTCTTTCATTCTCCAAGGATGCTCCTAATGCAGAGAGAGACACACACACGTCAGATTGGTCTCAGGCCCTTTCTTCTTAGACCCACCCTAACATCGTTCTGCATTTTACCTGGAAAGGTGTTGAGAAGAAGTGTATAGGATCCTAAGATCTTGCTCACTTTTCTGCCCCCCATTCCTGGTATTGATCAAAAATATCTTCTGCCCCTGGTTTGCTATGCCTATCTGGGATTCTACTGTTTCCCCAACTCTTGTCCACCTCATCAATCTCACCAGGGTCTAATTCTCTTGCTTATGCCCAAATTCCCCTCTCCTTCCTCTTTCTTAACTCAGAGAGGCTTTGTTTAGTTTTTGGGAGAGGAAGGAAAAAGAGTACAAGTGAATGAATCCGATGAAGTACAGGTTGAGTGGGCAGGATGGGAAACAAGTGTTAGTGTTTCATACACCATCTACCCACATGAAGTTACACTAATTCCATAACCACAGACTGCTGATGCTGGTTCTCTCCCTAAGAAACTGGTAACTAACTGCCTGGGTGTACGGATGGACTATTAGCCTTAGAAAAATGAACTTCTGGTTATAAAAGTAAAAGAACTGAGGATGTAATGTACAACATGATGACTATAGTTATCACTGCTGTATGGTCTATTTGAAAGTTGAGAGTAAATCCTAAGAGTTTTCATCACAAGGAAAAAAAGCAATTTTTTTTGCTTTGGTATCTATATGAGATGTTAACTACACTTATTATGGTAATCGTTTCACAATATATGTAAATCAAGTCATTATACTATACACATTAAGCTTATACAGTGCTGTATGTCAATTATATCTCAGTAACACTGGAAAAAAATTTAGGAGATAAAGTTAAAGTTATCCCTGGGGGCTAATCTAAACCAATAGGTTTACCTACACTCAGCCATAAGTCTTTCCTTTATTCTTGCTGGGTTTTAGATTTTTCTCCAATGTTCCACCTCCTACCAATGAAAAAAGTGTGATCAATTCTAGAGCTCTTAATTATTGAAATAATGAGATGATGCTCAATGTTTCCTCTAATTTTTAAAAATATGTGATCACTATGAATTGACGGGGATGCTCCTTGTATAATAAATTATTTCTACCCAGAATGCATGGATGGAGCCATAGAGTGCAGAAACTTGGCATGAACAGAGTCTACTTCTTTGGATCCAAACTCAGTTCTAAAAGAGAAATTCCCTGATCATGTAGGGCATATCTAATAGGGGAATGTGGTAGGAGGAGATGACATGGGAGATGGTTTTGTCAGGGTTTGGGGTTCTGCACCATAACTTAGTGAATAGGAACTTGACACCAAGGTTGGGTCATAGTCCAACCCCAGGACAGAGGCTTTTCTGGAGAGGAAGCATGGCTAGTTGGGTCTTCCCAGAAGGAGACTTTGTAATGGCAGAAGAGATGAGGGTCCAGTAGGAACAAGAGAAGGGGTTCCAGGATTTATCAGCCTCACTGTCACAGGTGAAATTCTCTCCCCATGGCTATCTTCTTTGGTACTTTTTACTGAGGCTATTATTGCCTATTCCAGGATCCATACTTCTTATCTTGCTTAGTAATAGAGCCCTAATTTTATTGGGGTGTCCATGTGCTCATCTAAAAGGCTATGAAATGAACAAAGGGAAAAAAAGAGACAAACCAAAAAACAGACTCTTACCTATAGAGAACAAACAGATGGTTACTGGAGGCGGGGGATGGGTGAAATAGGTGAAGGGGATTAAGAGTACACTATCTTGGGGCACCTGGGTGGCTTAGTCAGTTGAGCAACTGACTTTTGGTTTCGGTTCAGGTCATGATCTCATGGGTCCTGGGATAGGACCTTGCATGGGGCCCCTGCCTCCACCCCATGTTGGGCCCCATGGGAGTCCCTGCTGAGCAGGGTGTCTGCTTGGAAGATTGTCTCCCTCTACCCCTCCCCCCACTCTTGCACACATGCTCTCTCTCAAGTAAATAATCTTAAAAAAAAAGTACACTTATCTTGATGAGCACTGAGTAATATACGGAGTTGTTGAGTCACTATATTGTATACCTGAAACTGATATAACACTGTATGTTAATTATACTGGATTTAAAATAAAAATAAGTAAATAGAAGACTACCTATCCCAACTCTCTTGTAGCTAGCTAGGTATGGCTGCATGTCTAAGTTTTTTTCAATGAGATGTAAGAGGAAATACTGTGGGAAACTTCCAGAAAATCTTCTTAATTAGTAGTAGTGCACAACTCTTTGTTCCTTCCTCCTTCCCGATTGCTTGGAATGCTGATTTAACCCAGCAAACATTTGGAACAGGAGGAGATGCTCATAGAGACAGAACAGAAAGAGCCTAAGCCCCTGAATGGTGTGGAAACACCATTCCAGCCCTGGACAGAGAGAAGGATTTCTATCTTAAGTCACTGATATTTTGGATTTTTTGTTTCATGCAGCTGAATCTAATGGAAATAAATGGAAAAAGTATCCTTATTTATGTTCTTCTCAGAGAGAACTTTCTACAACTCACTCCCAATTTTTAGCACCTCAACAGGCTGTTTCTACTGTACATTTTATTTTTTAAATATTTTATTTATTTGATAGAGAGAGACAGCGAGAGAGGGAACACAAGCAGGGGGAGTGGGAGAGGGAGAAGCAGGCTTCCTGCAAGCAGGGAGCCCGACGCGGGGCTCGATCTCAGGACCGCGGGATCACGACCCAAGCCGAAGGCAGACGCCCAACGACTGAGCCACCCAGGTGCCCCTCTACTGTACATTTTAGAACCCCTATTTCATTATGGACCAACCCTTCACCCCACAGATATTTTTCTCAAATGCCTCTTCCTTTCCTTGACACTTGACTTGGTTTTCTCTTGATACATCAGCTCTTTGGTTTCACTCTTTTTCTCCACTTGATGTTTGGAGTAGGGGGATCCAGAGTGAAGAAGAGAGTGACATACTCTATCCTCCTACTGACACCAGCAATATTCCCATGCCATTTAGTAAAATTTCCTCTGTTGAAGTACACACTCCTCTAATCTTGGTTGCCACTATGATTGACTGACATGGCGAAAACTCTCCCACCTGATTGTTCAGTATCTTTCCTTTTAAATGAGAGATCTCCTTTCTGCCTGTCCAAAAATCACACACCTTCAAAACCCAACTCAACTGCCATTTCTGTCATCTTCCCTCCAGCCACATGTACTATTAACATGTGTATGGCAACTACTATATGTCAGGCACAGTTATAAACAAAAAATAACAGAATTAATCCTCGCAGCAGCCTTGCCAGGTAGGTAACCTCTCATACTCCTACAGCACTTTATTTATAATGCTTTTAACACAACACAACCTGCCTTTATTATGGTTATTTTTGATTTGCTTTGTCTTTCCACACAGCCAGCAGTGGTCTACTCTTGTGAAAGATGGGGAACATACAGACCTATCTGAAATAATTTTAGATTTCCAGAAAAGTTGCAAAAATAGTCCAGAGAGTTCCTATATACCCTTTCTCCAGCTTTCCAATGTTAGCATCAATAAGACATAATGTTAATATGTCTTATACTGATGATGTTAACGTTGGTCATTTGGTTATGCTGGTGTTTACCGAGTTCATCCACTATACAGTTATCCTATTTTCTCCATTATAATTAATAGCTTTTTAAGATGGGGGAGATACTTTGAGAGTATATAAATATCCTGTTTTTTTTTTTTTTTTTTTTGAAACTCTCACCCACTATTTTTAGCAAGGTGGATCTTGCTTACAACAATTACTGCTGCAGTATTGTAGTAAGGATTTTATATTTCCTTTATTCCTTCTACATTTATTCATTGGAATTCTTCCTAAGGAAGAGCTGCTCGCTCTTTCTTTCTTTCTTTCTTTCTTTCTTTCTTTCTTTCTTTCTTTCAGTATGAACTCATGGTTATCTATTTTGTTCTGTGGGTTATAATCTAATATAATTGTTTATTTTGTTGCTCAAATGTTCTAAGTTTGGCCATTGGGAGCTCTTTCAATTTGGTTCCTAAATTTTTTTTTTTAAGATTTATTTATTTGAGAGAGAAAGAGAGTGTGCACGCACTGGGGGGAGGGGCAGCGGGAGAGGGAGAGAGAGAATCTCAAGCAGACTCCCTGCTGAGCATGGAGCCAGACCAGGACCCTAAGATCACGACCTGAGCCAAAATTAAGAGTTGGCCGCTTAATCGACTGAGCCACCCAGGTACCCCAGCTCCTGTGTCCTTTCAATAAGCCCCCATCCTTTCTTGCATACTTCCTTACTTTTTGGCACTTCAAGATGCTTCAGGCTCATCTTTTATTTTCCTTGCTCCAGCCATTTCTTTATGGAGTCACGGTTCATGTTTTGACTCAAGTTATTGACCTTGGGCAAGTTACCTTTTCTGAGTCTCAGTTTTCTCACTTTGAAAAAACTGGAGTAACAGTGCCTACCTTACAAGGTTGTTGTGGAGATTTAAAAAATTATACATATATAACAGGGGTAATATTTAAAAAACCATAATGGCCTGTTCTCCTTTGCCCCTTCTAGCATTGAATCTGCTTTTTGAGTTGCCCCAGGCTGCCTTCTTCCTGGTGCTATGCAACAAGATTCTTGCCTTGAGAAAGGATTTTCTAAATTCCTTTACCTTCTCTCCACATGTTAGCCCCCTCTACCTTCTCCCATATTTCAAATTGTTCAATGAAAAAGCCAAGGCCTTTTGGAGGCAATGTTTTTAGCTGGCATTTCCTTGGATGCCTGCTCTTCAGGAGGAGAGGGGTTAAATACTTTGGGATAACTTCAGCACGGAACTGCCAAGTCTCTTAGGTTCAGCTCAGCAATCAAACTACATAACCTAATAGAGCCCCTGGTGCTATGGGAAACACAAGACACTGATTTATATTTTAATATCAGTAATTTCCACAAGAGCAACATTTCTGAGTGTCATTTTACAATTTCTGTCAAATGCCAGCTCAGTTTTTCTTAATTCTGTTTATTGTGTCTGAATTTGCAACCTCATCCGCAATGCAGATTCTTGGCTCCCAGGAGAAAAGAACATTTTCATCTTTCTCTGGAATGGGAGGGATGGGGATAGAAGCAGAAACAGGCCTATAAAATAGTTGGAAATATAAACGAAGTACTGTTTATTAAGAATGGTTATAAAGTACTTTCAGTTAAAAAGAAGCAGGGTGGGGGGGCACAGTACTGAACAAAATGCAAAAAAAACGACACACAAAAGTTGATGCTTGAGATCCAAACTGGAATCGTTCCTTCCAGAATGCAGAACTGTTCTGTACACGGCAACATTGAGAAGAGGGAACCAATGTGGGGAGTATTTGACCACATTTACTGTAAGTAAGATGGTTGCTCTGGCCATTAGCACTGCAGCAGGTTACAAAGTGCTTTGGGATCCTTAAGGATCAAAGGTGCGTGGCTACATAAATGCCAGATGTTGCCATCAGGAAGAAGGAGCCTGGTTCTCTGCTGTGTTCTTTGAACATCTCATAAAAGTAAGAACAAAGCTGGTGCTGTTGGCACCAAACCACATCTACTCAGCGTGCTGACGGGGTGGGAGTGCTTCCTGAGGCTCCTGGCTGCAGATGTGTGCCCTTGAACATCCATCGTCGTCCACCCGTTCCCTGCGGGCCTGCAGCTCCAGTTTCTACATCAGTCCTTTTCCAGACGGTAATGAGCAACCTCCTGGAAGAGGGCAACATAATGTTCCTGTCTGAGGCCTGAAATTTAGCTTTGGCTCGAGAGGATCTCTCCTTTTCTTGTTACGGAAAACCCAGCCCAGAGTTTGAAGCGGGGCTCCAGCTAACTGTGAAGCTTCTTGCGAGGCTGCTCAGGGCCTTTCCCAAACAGGAATGTTGTTGCCTCTGTAACCCTTTTCTCCGAAGCCACGGCTCCCTTGAGGTCAGAGCAAGCCCCAAACCGTTTGTGAAGACCTCGTGCTTTTCACCAGCATCCTTCAGTTTCATACACTCCAAATCCAACATCATGTCTCATTGCCGAACCTCTGGCGGAAGCCGCGTTGAGTTTCTCAGTGGAGCTATCGACCACATTGACTGAAGCGGCAGCAACGTGTTTCTCCCCGTCCGAAAGGGTAAAAATAACAGGAACAAGTTGTCGGAAATGAAATTTCAATTCATCCACGCCCTTTCTACACTTCTGCTGTGACTCCCAAGCAGGGATCAATAGTGTTTAGACAGCCAAGGAGATTTTTTCCCCTCTTAAAGCACCAGATCAATAGTGGGAAAAAAAAAAAAAAAAAGAAAAAAGAAAAAAAAATCCTCCAGCCCTCTGTGTGTGTTGTGGTAAATGTGAACAAATCAGAGGCCTTTGGCTAAATGGATTGACTGAAGGCAGCACAGTCTGGCACTTTGGAACTGAGAGTGCATCAACCGCACAAGTGGCAATGAGGGAGGAAAGCCGCCAGGCTCTGGTGCACTCCAGTGCTCCCTTGGTGCCGGTGACAAGGAGGCTGTAAAGGGAATTTCTGTCTCCAAAACAAAGGGAAGGAAGGAAACTTTTGGGGGTGTGTGGCAGCATGTGCGCGTGACTTTTTAAAAAATTAGAAATACCCAGTTGGGACCATTCATGGAAGTGCATTTCGTGGGAAGACAGCTTGGGCCATGGGGTACTCCCCACTTCCTCTCCATTTTGTCTTTTGCTTTTTATTTCATTTTTTAATTACTTAATTATTTTTTAGAGGGGGGAAGGGGGAAGGGACAGAGGGAGAGGGAGAGAGAGAATCCTAAGCAGGCGCCACGCCTAGCCCCAGCCCAGATGCAGGGCTTGAACCCACAACCCTGAGATCATGACTTGAGCCAAAATCAAGAGTCCAATGCTTAACCAGCTGAGGCACCCATGCGCCCCATCTTTTGCTTTTTAAATGTTTATTTATTTTTTTAATTAAAATGCTCAGCTACGTATGGCTTTTTCTTGTTACTTCATGAGGTTTATTTCCATATGCTGCCCAGCTCTCAGACATCTCCACCTGGAAAGATCCTGAAGGCTGAATTTGTCAAAGGTCATTTTTCCACTCACCTGGTTTCCTCCTTTGTCCCTACTGATCTCTGAGGCCATTTCTAGCTCATCCTCTCACTCCCATTATTCATGAGAGAGAGAAACTGGGTCAAAGCTCAATTCTGATTTTCCTCAAATGATTTACCCACGAGCAACTTCTCCTCTCACTATGACAATTTCTGTATTTTATTACATCCCTTTTTCCCCCCACCAGAGACAATACAGTGTGCAGATATTCACATGGATAGTCTAGTTACAAGAGTGACTTCCAAATCTGGTCCTTCTTCTTCAAGAAGCAGGCAACCAGTGGATTGCAGCTGTAATTATGGTGTGAGAAGCTGAAGGCTTCTGAAGTGGGTTGTCACAAAACAGTTCTTTAATTTCACCTGGAAAAGCTAACCCAAGGACTCAAAAGATTGCCACATAGTTGGTGCTACTTTGTGGGATTAAAAATTATTTATGTTGCAAAACCCAAAAGTGAACTGCTATGGACATGTGTACATCACCCTTTATTATAAAAGACTTGTTATTCTTATGATTATTGCATTAATTTCTGCAGTGAATTAAGATTCCGCTTGAAATAAAGCACTGGTTAAAGCTGGTATAGAAGTATATAAAAGCGATAGCAGGTCAACCTGCACTAGTTTAGATAATACAGTCTTGTAGTTGGTTTAGTTAAATAAATGTCTATAATCATATATAGAAGAAATGATTCTTACCGATTATGTCATAAACAGAAGCTTCTCTGGAGTCGCTTGCTGTGCCTTATGAGCCCATATTTTAAACCAGACCTGTTCTGGTTACAATTACATTCACTGGCATATCTCAAAGGTATCCTAGGAGAGAGATACACCTCAGTCACTTCAAATAGTCAAGAGGTCAGGTGATAGTAGAAAAAGTCCCTCTCAATGGATATTTCCAAGAGAAATAGAGACTATAAATATTGATTTATTCAGTAATTAAAAAGTGCAAAGAACCCAGTATGCATTAGGTGAACAGAAATGAACAATGACAAATGTAACTACAAGAGTACTGGAGCCATAAAATAGCCCCCTTCCCTCCCGTAGGGGCTTCACGCAGTGAGGGGCCTGGTGACTGCAACCTCTCCCTTTCTAATGATTCTTCTTATTAGCATTTTGAAAGTTTAAGCATTTGAATATATAATGTAGTCAAGCAGTTCCAAAGTGTGAGAAGGCATTGGACTGGGTTTCCATTTGCCCCTCACTTCCTTTTTTTTTTTGAGAGGGAGGTGGGGAGGGGCAGAGGGAGAGGGAGAGAGAGAGAATCTTAAGCAGGCTTCCATGCCCAGGGCAGAGCCCGATCTCATGACCCTGAGATCATGACCTGGGCCGAAATCAAGAGTCACATGCTTGGGGCGCCTGGGTGGCTCAGTTGGTTAGGCGACTGCCTTCGGCTCAGGTCATGATCCTGGAGTCCCTGGATCGAGTCCCGCATCGGGCTCCCTGCTTGGC